CACCCCTCCGTTACACCCCTCACACTGAGTGCCTTGAAGAGCGGTGGTCTCAAGACTTAAAAACGCTTTGATTTGGCTTTTTTACTTTTTTTTTTTTTTTTTTTTTTTTTCGGACTCCCCGCCCGCCCGCCTGCCTCCCCTCGAACGCGCAGCCCACCCCGACCCACGAGGTTTATCACCGACGCACGCCCTCGCCCCTCCCCGCCCATCGCGCTTTTCCATTGGCTATCGGGGTAAAGCCACGCCTCCCGGGCGCCGCTTGTGGGCGGAGAAAAGGGGGGGCGGTGGCCGCAGCTATTGCTGGGCGGGGTTCGCTGGCTGGCGGCCGGTGCCTTGCCGGGTACCGGAAGCGCGGCGGAAGTTGCCGGAAGTGCCGTACCGACTAGCCGGAAGTGCGGCGCCTATGGCTGAGGGTGGGCTGGCGATGGGGCAGGGCGGGCCGGGGCTGAGGTGGGGGGCGGACGGGTGTCCCTGTCCGCCATTATCTGCCAGCGGGGCCGTGCTCCTGCCTCCTTCTAACGCCTACCCTCCGCTTTCGGCCACCCGTGGGCTTCCAGGGCTTTCCGCCTTCCTCGGGGCCTTCGTGCCAGGGTTTCCCCCTCCGCAGGCCGTTTTCCCCCGGCCGGCAGCCTGTGTCTCTGCTCTGCTCCGCTCTCCCCGCGGCTGCCTTCGCGTAGCTCTGGGGCTGAGGTTCGGTGAAGCCATCCCCTGTTTCCTCAGAGCGAAAGGGGGGGGTGGTGTCTGTGTGGGGTATTATTGTTTGATGTGCTCTTAAACTCCTCTTCGTTTTGCAGAATGTGATACGACTGCCTTTCATTCGGGACTCCTGCCTCTTAGGTTTTGATGGCGCACATCACCATAAATCAGTATTTGCAGCAAGTAAGCAAGTTTTTGTTTTGTTTTGTTTTTATTTGTGGGCACTGTTCAGAGTATGTGGATGTATTTTTCTTCCCTGTAAATGTGTTGCCTTGCTTAAGAAATAAATCAGCCTAGAATGTGTGATGTGGTAAAGAAATATACTTCTTAAGTCAGTGTTAAGTATACTGGCTGTGTGCCAAGAGCGTATACCTGGAATTTCTGAATGTACTGATATAACATATAGAATTTATCCATAAGACTTGATGTGGTGGGAGTGTGTGTGCGTGCAGTAACAAATGCAGCTCAGGGATTCAAGAAATACAGGGATTTAAGAAGTACAGAAATACACAGTGTGTGTGGCGTGGAGGATGAAGAGATAGTAGCAGGGTCACAAGGCTACCAGCTGGACTGAACCCTCAGTCTCAAGCTTTTACTGTGGTCACTCTGACTGCTTCTTTCTGAACCATGATTCAGCCAAAATCACTCAAGTCAATTGAATGAAGGGCACAAAAAGAGAGTAATTGTTTGGCTTTCAGTCTCAAAAATGGAGCGGATGAGACCTCTCATCTCTGATCTGCTCTGAAAAGTCAGCATCTTGTCCAGTTGACAGTCCATTTAACATTTAGTAAGAAAAACTACTTCCAAAACACAAAACCGGCACTCCTTTACTTGGAAAAAACCCACCATTCTCTGAAAGAGTTTAAGCAGTTGATTTTCCCTCTTTTGCTGCTTCCCTTGCTGTTGTAGCTTAGGATTTTTCCCATTTGGTATGAGCTTTCCATGCAGCAAAAAGATTTTTTTTTTTTTCTCCTATCAGAACACAAAAAATATGACAACTAAAGCACAAGCAGTGGGAAAGGAGCTCTTGAGAAGTAATATGTAAAACTACTTCCACAACTGAAGAAATTTCCAGCTTGATGTCAGAATAAGCTGTACAGACAGATGATTTTTTACAGGGAGTTATCGTTAGCAGGAAGCAGAATCAAACCATTCTCCCACAGAATATAACATTTACAGTCTTGACAGGTTTCAAAAGTATTCTATATAGATGCTGGTCTAATACCAGACATTGCCTGTGGAATGATAGCTGTGTGTTTAATCTACCTGTCTTCATTTTTAAGTGTCACTCAAAAGATTGTTTATGCCTTCACATATATGTTTGATGCCCGTAAGTCCCATTGGAATTTTAAAAAGCTTGACCAAATCTGGCTCACAACTGCTGTTTTACAATGCTAAATCCATGTAAGTTGTTTGGGGATTCTCTGGTTTGCTCATATCCTACAAATAAGGAAAAAGCCACAATAATAGCGTTCACCCTACCTTCTCCCTGATACCTTTTTGAAAAACAGGTGTATTGAAAGTACAATATTGATTCAATCACTTTTCAACCTTTAAAAACTCACGTTTGAGTTGGTATCGATGTGGATGAACAGTGGTAACAAGAAGGTGGCTTCTGTAGTCATGTGTAAATATGTTGTATGGCTGTGGCTGGATTTTACTCTGTAACGGGGCTGTTTTCTTTGGTAGGTACAAGAAGCCATTGACAGCAGAGATGGACAATTTTGTGCAGAATTGGTATCATTTAAACATCCACATGTTGCAAACCCAAGGCTACAGGTGAGAATCTGGTTTTGACCTTTCTTTTGTCTTGCTTTTGGTTTTCCTAGCTCTCTATATGGGTTCCTTTCCATTGGAGATAAACCTCAGAAATCTGTTTCACGGGCCAGAGCAGGATCCCCTTGTAGGTTTGTTTCCCTTTTCTTCTTACAAGGACATTGTGTATTTCCTTTTTTTTTCCTGGATGGCTTTTTGTGTTCCGCTTTGAATTGTTTTCTGGATAGATACGGTCTTGAAAGTCCCTTCTGGCCAGGTCTACATTAGTTAGTAACGTGGCACAGTGGAAGTGACTATAAAGAGAAAACCAGTGGGTAGCAAGGGTCCAGTGTTCGCGCTGTATGCGTTTCAGATGCTTTTATTTAAGGTGAGCTCTAATTGGGTTCTGCAGACATAGTGCACGCTAGCTATTCGTTACACTGGATGTTATTATTAATGTAACTTAAGGTTCTGATAGATAGCAAAGGCATGTATGCATAAAACTGCCATGACAGAACATCCATATGATGTTCTGTTTCTGGTGCATTGGATGTTCCTTTAATGTTTCGCTGATTTATTCTATACTTAGCTTCCGTCTCCAGAGGAGAAGTGTCAACAAGTTTTGGAACCACCATACGATGAAATGTTTGCAGCCCACTTAAGGTAAAGATGGACGAGGAAAGTAAAGTCAGTTCTGAGGCAGCCAGCAGGGATGGGGAAGGATGTCCTTAAGTTTACTTAGTTATTTTAAAGGGCTCACATCTGAAAACTTGGTGTTTATTACTCTTACAAGTAGTGCTAGAACTGCAGGAAATAAAGACCTGCTCTTTCCTCTCCATGTAAAGTTTGCTTTATGTACCTGGCGGTCATCTGCTTACAGTTGTTGACACAGCTTTGGTTTTGGTGCTTGCTGTTTCCTTTGCTCTGCATTGACAAGCTACACAAGAAGTTAGAGTGAAATAAGCAAGGGAAAGAAATATTTTTAAAAGGGAATTTTAGTCATAAAAGTTCTCTTAAGACAGCTTTAGGACCTAAGTAATTCTGTGAGGCTTTTATTTAAAAAATTCCTGCATTAATGCATCCTTAGTTCACTTCCAGCAGTCTTGGAATTTTTTTTATCTGTGCTAATCTCGGTGACGGTTTCAATAAGCATTAGCATATTACAGTTGATACTGTACATATTATAGAAGCAAATCCCCATTCATCTCTCGGATCAGTTTTCTACAATTATCAAGCTTAGCGCTGTGTTAAAATACTTGTGCCATTTTGTTAGGAACGTTTCTAATCGTATTTCTGTGTCTCTTAAATAAACCGTAAAGCTCTGTGCCTGTTGAGAGGCAAAAAGAAGTATTTGTCTTGCATATATGGTATTTTCTGATGCACTAATGCACCTTTTCTTTGACAGGTGTACTTATGCTGTCGGAAACCATGACTTTATAGAAGCATACAAATGCCAAACAGTTATCGTCCAATATCCTTTTCCATAAATCTTGTACATAGTTTTCAGATTAACTATATGTCTTCTTGTAGAATAAGTTATCTTTACCCCTTTTAAAATCTAGTAGAATGTGGTCTGCTTCCAAATACACTTCAGCTATTTAGGTTCCTAAGCAAGCAAATCCAGATATGCTCTTCTCCTTTCAACTTTCTGTAGGACTAAGAAGGAAGAGAAACCAGGAAAAATAGAAAAGTTAAGTTCTAAGATAGAAAAATTAATTTCTCGTAGAGTATAGGAGACCCTCAAATCATTAACATACCTCCCAGTTTGTACTTCGTTAGAGGGGAAGATGCTGATAAAGCAAGCTGCTATCTTGCCTCTACGTGGCCAGTGTTTCTTACTGCCACACCAAGGAGTGTGCGGCTGTGCTCATGTTCTTCCCTGCTGCGTCTTTGCATCCTGACTCCTCATCTGCTTGCTGCTTTATTGGTTTCTGCCCTTTCATGTAGTAGTATATGGTACCATTCAACTGCTGTTTTTTAAATCTCTGCTTCATTTCATAGCATTTTAAATTCTCCTATATACAATACATCTTTCCTGCGAGCATTTCAGGCACATAAAGAAGAAAACTGGTAAGTGCATCATAGAGAGCTACTAGAAACTAGGCTCTTGTATTTCCCTTGTATAATACCATAATCGTCAAACTAAAATTATGCTTACATTTTTTATTTATTCTCAGCGATACTTAAATGCAGCCTAATTGGTTTTGCTGCCTGTTTGAGTGTTTAGGTCCAAAAGTGTGAAAACTAAACATCTGAGCTTAATTACGTAGAATTGTCCATAAGTAAAGGTGAAGAATTTATTCAAAGTGAGATGCTATTTTATTAAAGCCACAGTAAAAAAAGTTTCAGAATTAATTCTTCCTCCAGTGTAGGATTCCTGAAATGCTGAGATCTTGAAGACCTTTCCTTTTAAAAAGTACATCCTTCTGTATTTAAAGTTTAATGTATACTTTTCTAGCTTTATGACCAACTAGCAGAAAAAAAACCAAAAAGCTTGTTTCTCATGTCTTGCTTATGGCATGATTTGCACATACTAAGAATACTATGTTTTACTTTTCCAGGGCTTTACCTATCATGTATGCCGTAGCCCTCGATCTTCGAATTTTTGCTAATAATGTAAGTAGATCTGATTAACAGCCTCATTACTTTCATCTGTTAAGAGTTTCCCTGGTGGAAATCTTTTAGACTTTATTACATAGCCTAATTTTGCTCAGTACTGTTTAACTCATTGTTTAGGATTTTGTTGACACACTAAATTCATACAGTCCTATTGAAAAACTTGCGTTGCTTAGTCTGCCCGTCTCCCATTTGCAGCTTGGACTGGAGAGGTTCTGAGGACCTGCATGCAACTCACAGCAGTTGCTTAGAGCATATGAAGTGATTAAGTACTGTCTTTATAGAGTAGCCTGGTGGCACAACTCACTATTTCCATGCGTTTTCCTTGGGATTTGGTGGAGATCTTTGTAAGGGTGGAGATATCCCAGACAACTGAGCTAGTCTAACCACTCACCACATCCGAAGAGGGAAGTTTCTGCCTCCTTTCCCCCTTCCAGCTGTGTGTACTGCTCTTGATGCTCATTGGAGCCCCTGCTGAGCCCACACAATGCTGATCAGCAGAAAAAAACCCACCCCAAATTTACGTTCTTTTTCTCAGGCTAGTGAATTGAAGTAGCTTGTGTAGGGATCTGTTGAGAACTGCTAGGCCAGGGTAAGTGGCAGGATCATGATCTTGCTCCTAGTCACTTTACCTGAAGAGGTGAAGCCAGAGTTCAAGTTAGATTAGAGTTTGACAATACACAGTATTTTCAGTGTTTGTCCTCTCAACACTTTCTTGTGCCCGCCCACCCGTAAAACAACGCATTTGACGTGCTTGCACAGATAATATTTTGCGTGTGTGTGTGCCTGCTCTGTAACAAGTCTCGATTCTCAGTCTGAAAGGCAAATTCGTATATCTGAGATGCAGGAGAAAGGGGAAAGTTGGATCAGTCACACTGTAAGTGTTTGAACTCTGTCTTCTAACCTTAGTATAAGCAAAGAATGCAGATACAGAGAAGACTTCTGCAGCAAAGGAGGCATTTCCATTTCTTTTCCTTATGTTTCAGCTAGTGAGAATGCAAGCATTCTAATAAAACTTTTTAGAAAGCACATAGTAAATACCTACTCGCTCTTTCCTGCCCCCCACTCTTTATTAAGTTCTGCATTAATCAGTGCATGGATCTTTCCCATGTATTGGCAACTCTTTTTTTTTTTTCCTCTTGCCACTGTAACATATGTTTTCCATTTCTTTTGAAAGTCCCAGGTCCTAGCAGTGTGTGTTACTACTAGAAAATGTTGAATATGGTTTAGAAATAAAATCTAGCTTTTGTGGCTGTGGAGAGAAGCTTAATTATAAATTCTAAAACTCAAACTCCGTAACTGGGGGGGAATCATTTTAGTTTGCTTTTGTTCAAAAGACATTTTTTTGCCAGACTGTTGGTCTTTGAAAACTTGAGTAGAAGTGTTAATGCTCCAATTCAGCTATCAGATGATCCTGAATTTAGGTTTCTGAGAGCTGCATTAAGCTTAGTGGTACTAAAGGTAATAGTGGTCAGTGCTATTTTCAAAGGACTGTCCTCCTGTGCATTTGGTTTGGTACATGTTCAGGAGCCTCTCCTATAGTGTTTTCTTTTATTCTGTGAGCTTGACTGCCTTCTAGATTTGGTGGATAGCAGGCATGACAAACCTATTGCTATAATACTTTATAAAATGCTGTATTAAGGAACTGTTTGCAACCCAGCAAACCAGGATGTAGAATTACGTATTGTTTCTTGCTGTGTAATAGGCAGATCAACAGCTAGTGAAGAAAGGGAAAAGCAAAGTTGGCGACATGTTGGAAAAAGCAGCAGAACTGCTGATGAGCTGTTTTCGAGTCTGTGCCAGTGACACGTAAGTGAAAGATCCTCTGTAGAACTTGCACTATTAAATTGTTAAGAATTTAATGAACTTTACATAATATTTTCCTGCTTACTAAGACCATATCTGGGTAAGAATGAACACTTCTGAGGCTCGTTTCCTCTCATTTATAGTCTGTTCTCTCGTGACTATTAACTAGAGCTGGAGAGGCCTTCCTTGAGGTTTAACATTCCTAGCAGATGTTGTTGGGAGGGACTGATTATGTCCCTGTTGCTCAGGAAAGATCATGAACACTTTTGTGCCCTGTTCAGTTGTGAAGTTTGCTTCATTATGATTAGATGGAAAAGAAGTGACTCTTTGGTTTCCAGTCTTAGCAATTTTAACACATCCAAAGTGCAGAAGATGCTTTTTTTTTCCCCATCTTTCTTTCACCTTGAATATTATAAGCAACTGCTATGCTAGTACAGACTGGAGTGAGGACATTGATGCACATGAATGATATTTTGCATGACATCTTTTCATTACGTTGAGAAGAAATGTAGCAGTGCTGTTTAAGATGGGAACACATGTTCTGTTTTGACAGTGCTGGTATGGTTTAAGTCGAGGAGTTTGGCCTTGACTTTTATTTTCAGACACCTGTTTTTACCCTAAAAATAAAAATAAAAAAATCTATGGAGGGAATTTACCATAAGGACGAAGTCATTTTTCTTTCAATGTTCAGTACTAGTAGGTTTTTTTTTCTTTCTTCTTTTCTTATGACAGTCGAGCAGGCATTGAAGATTCCAAAAAGTGGGGCATGTTGTTTCTCGTGAATCAGCTGTTTAAAATTTATTTTAAGGTAGGGTTCAAGTCTGGTAAGCTGTGTTTTGTATTTCATATTCTAAGTCAAACCCACCCTTTTTGTATGATACTATCTATCTACACTCTCTGAGTAAAATGCAATTAATCTTTTTTTTTTTTTTAACAGATCAACAAGCTTCATCTATGTAAGCCCTTAATTAGAGCAATTGACAGCTCAAATCTGAAGGATGAATACAGTATGGCACAGCGTGTTACATACAGATACTATGTTGGGCGCAAAGCCATGTTTGACAGTGACTTTAAGCAAGGTACTGTGTGCCAGTGAGACAGATTTAAAGTCTTGCTGCTTGGTGTGAAATCTGGCTGATGTTGTGTGTGTGTGACTCAAAATGGGTGTAGAAGGTACAGTTGTGTTTGCATTGATCAAAGGAGAAGTCATGCTGAAAGATCCAAGGGCCACAGGCTGAGTCAGATCAGAGATGAGATTACGTGACACTTGTAATTGTAGTGTATGCCCCGTTTTAAAATACTGGTGTCAGTGAAGTTCTCTATAGTCTTACGCATTATGTATGTGCATAATAAAATGTACCAGCATCCAAAAGAATAGGTTTGTACAAGGTTTCACAAAGGAGACTTTGTGACTCTCTTGTCCTCTTCAAGTTGCTGTATGCCACATAAGAAATCTTCAGCAAACTGTACTGCAGAATTAGTTTCTCAGTGCTTTGATTTTGGGAGATGTAGAAACTGCATTTCTGAGGTTTCTAACAGAGTCACTAATACAAATGCTTCTAGAGCTAAGGTGTACAACTTTCATCACTAACTGAAACCCCTGACCAAAATCTATTGTGGAGCCGGTTTTGTTACTTTAAACAGTGTCTTCTGCCTGTCAAGCTTGTAATTTTTCTCTCGGTGAAAATTGATGAGAGCTTTTCTTGTTGTTATGCTGTGTGATCTCACTGGCATGTTTCTGCAGCTAGCAGATGCACTCATCACATGCGGCTTGCATCCACTGAAGAACCTAATCTGTGAATTTAGAAAATAGAGTTCTGTTTCATCAGCTCTTCTTGAGATTCTCCCCTCTTGTAATAGTAGCACAGTCATAATACTCAAATGAGCTGAAAATTCCAATATTGCTTATAACTGTTACCTCTGACATCTAGACCTTGACAAGTTTTCTTTGACTTTCTGAAGGAGGACTTATTTTTTCTGGTAATACTTTGTATTTTATGTGAATCTCCAACAATTCTGACAGCCTTTTTCTTAGTGTGTTTTGATTGGTATGATTCTTTTTTATATCATTTCAAATATCATGTGTTCAAGCTATAGATGGATATTGAGCACAAAATTACAGAATTTGGGTTATAGTTTTAATCTGTTTTTTGTTGTTGACTCATGTTACTAGCACTTTTATTTGTGTCTGCAGCTGAAGAGTATCTGTCATTTGCCTTTGAGCACTGTCACCGCTCAAGCCAGAAGAACAAAAGAATGATTTTGATCTACCTGCTGCCAGTAAAAATGTTGTTGGTGAGTAGATGTTACTCTTCTAAATAATTTGGGGGGCAGGGGGCAGATAACTGAACTGATGCTCATTATTGTTCTTGGTTTTCCCTTACTGGAATTTGGAGGCTATCTGTGCCTGACCCCCATAAGAGCCAGCATATGCACTCTTCGTGTGTGAGGACAAAAAATGTTGAATTGTTGTTTATAGCAACACAGGAAGGGAGAAAGTGTGTGGGGGGAACAAACAAAAACCCCACCCTCCTTTCTCCCTACCTTCCTCCCACCCCTGGTAAAAGTGCAACCTGAGATTACCTCTTTAATAAAGAGTTCTTTGGAGAAGCACTTCACAGTGTAACTTGTGTCGTGTAGCAGAGTGCCTGTCCGGTCATCAGCCGCACAGATGGGCCCAGGAGGTGTGTGGATTCACTAGTACGAATCCGTCTGCCACTTTCACCTGGTGGAGGGAAGGAGGATGTGCAAACAGAGGGCTGAAGACTGTTGAGGGGGGTTTGCCACAGGAGGGAAAGGATACCTATCTTTGGGTTTTCTGTTTGCACCCTGTACGTTTGCCCGTTTGAGGCATGTCAGAAGGGTCATGAAGTAGAGCATTTTGGTTTTGAACAAATCAATAAAGACTGGTTACTGTTTGGTCATTTCATCTTTCTGTTAAAAGAATTAAGCTCATCTCTGCTTCTTGTTCCTGTCCTTGCCCATGTGCTGTGCTAGCATTTGTGTATCCCTGAGTTAGTGGGATTATGCTAACAATTAATTCAGTGTAACTGAGGACACAAGAACTAGATTTTAGAGTTTCCTGTTCCTGGCCCTATTACCAACGTTTACCCGTGGAGAATACTGTTACCACCTGCTTCTGTGAGTTGCCATGTCCCCCCTTTGCCCCCCGGCCTGTTGATGACCATCCTTCCTTTTCCGTTCAGTGCTCCCTTTCCAGTCCCTTGCAGTGTCAAGTGGGTAAAGGGGAAGCATAGTGAGTATGGTAATTGGCTTCTGGTTTTCACTTTTTATTTATTGTCTTACTGGTTGTCTTCAGATCAATCAATGGTCAAGTTGACAAAGGAAAACTAACAGTCTTCCTAAAATCTTTGCCCCAGTCCTGACTGGGTGCCTTAAACTGATGGGTCTGTTAGCGCCTGAAATTACTGTGGTGTTTCTTGAGCGGTTCTAGTGTACAAGAGGCACTAAAGAAACTAGATAAAGGTCATTGTTTTTTACAGTTGCTTGTTTTTAATCAGAGCCCAAACATTAACACTAACTTTAAACTGTACTAAAATAGCTTGGATGGTTTTTTTTATTGCTAGCAGCTCTCAGTAAACATGCAGCTGAGTTCTGCTCTCAGCTAATCCTCCAACCAGGAAAGGGGTTACCAACAGCATAGCATGATGGTAACTAAATTTAAAGTCTGACCCAAGTCAGTGTGCAATCTGATCTCTGCTGAGCAGGGGGAAACAAACAAAGTTTCTTTTTGATAGTGTAGGTGGTTCAGTCTTACCTGATCTAGGAATGAGAATTAATTTTGTTTCTTTAAATTTAAACATTCTTTCTTTTTCTGTTTGGTGGTGGGTTTGGTTTTTTTTTTTTTTTTGAGAGGACGTTTTTATTTCCACAGGAAGGCATAGTGAAGAAAAAATCTGGTAGACTGAGCTAGCACTTGACAGCGCTGAAGCACCGCTTGTATTATTAGTAATGCTCGGGATTCCTGTGGTTCTTCTGTTTGCCGATCACATCATACAGGCATGACATAAAATTTGGATCTGCCTAGGCCTCATGTCACAGGATCTTAATTTTACAAGTTTGATAACTGTTCCCCAACATGAAGAAATACTCAGTAGGCTCCCTAAACCGTGATACATAGTGAGTTGAGCTACAATGTGTTTGGCAGGGGAAAGGGGGTTGTCTTACAAATACTTTTATTCACCTCTTATTCTGTAGCAAAAAAAAAAAGTGGTTAAACATTTGTCTTTTTCTCTAACAAATGTTTTTATAGCTTACTAGATTATGTTTAAAATGCATTTGACTTTACCCTGGAAAACTTGGAAACTGTTTATTTTTCAGGGCCATATGCCAACAGTTCAGCTCTTAAAAAAGTATGACCTTATGCAGTTTGCTGAAGTAACAAAGGCTGTGAGGTATGATTATTGTTTTATTGCGTTGTGTGTTAGTTCAAAAAGTATTAAGTAAAATGTATTTATTTGGGATGATTGAGGAAGGCAGGGGAGGGATATTCCTACCAAGGCAGACAATTTCTTTTCTTGTTTGAATGAGACTTTCTCATGTTTTCATTTCTTCATCCTTGTAGTGAAGGCAATCTTCTCCTACTGAATGACGCTCTGACAAAGCACGAGACCTTCTTTATTCGATGTGGAATCTTTCTTATCCTTGAGAAGCTGAAAATCATCACGTACAGAAATCTCTTTAAAAAAGTGTAAGCATAACAAAACCTATGTTTTTGCAAAAGATTTAATATGGTTTCACCTAGGACTGAGATGGAAATGTATATGCTCCGTAGTTCTCTCTGAGAGACCTGAATTCCTGTTAAAGTGAATTTATTGTAGAAAGCCCATTTTCCTAAGAACCAGAATTTTTAAGTGATTGTTTCTCAATAACAGATTTTTTCCTGTTGTTTCTTTCAGATACTTACTACTCAAAACCCATCAGCTATCTCTAGATGCCTTTCTCTTTGCCCTGAAATTCATGCAAGTAGATGATGTTGATATTGATGAAGTCCAGTGCATTTTAGCTAACCTTATATATATGGTATGTGCTGACTGCTTGTTGTCTGGTCCTCCCAGACTTCAGACAGTAAAAAATATTAGGTAGAGAATAAAAGTTTATAACAAAAAACATATCAGTAATCCCAGGTTTTCTTGTGTAAAAAAGTTGATTCACTTGTGCCAAAGTGAAATGCTTCCAGTTGCCCTGAGGGCTTCCTCTAGTTCCTGCCTCCTTTGCAGGAATCAGTTAAAATTGAAGTTGAATTTTATGTTACAAATCCAGTACTTACTTACATTTCTATGTATGCGTAAATACTGGTTTAAAAATACAAAAATTGTTACTGGGACCAAAAGGGATTTGTTCTTCTGCATTTGAAGTAGGAGACTCTTGACATTCTAACATTAGAAGAAATTAAAACCAGATTTCTTTGGTTTTGTTTCACACTCTGTCTTTTACTCAAAGTGGATCTCAACTACTCATGAACAGATAAAGGCTTGAAATCTAGAGGTTTCTAATAAATCGGAGGTTTTGGAGCAGCACTGAAGTGTTAGCAAGAAAATGAACCGCTTCTCTGTTTCTGAAACAGATTATTTGGTGTAGTCTAGGAGTAATGGAGGGTGGGATTAGGTCACTGGAAGATTTCTTTCAGTGTTACCACGCTATGTCTGAAAAGGAAGTACTATGTCATTTAGTTTATTAGGTATGGAAGAGCAATTAATTAAAATCCTAGTTTTAAAGTGAGCAAGAGTAAATTTAGAAACTTCTGTAGAGCTTTGTCTCTTCAAGGTAAATGTGAGCAGACCAGTAGGGACCCTGGCAACAGGCGCTCAGCCTGACAGTGCTGTTACTATGCGAACATGGTTATGGTTCCAACTTTCTGCTTACTCTGTGAGTTGACCAGCTTAGGTAAATTGGATCCTTATAGATACTAAGTACAGTAGTGCGGTGGTGATTGAGTATACACACATTGATTGAGTATACACACGTAGCTTTGCTTGATGTAGTCTGAAGACAGCTGAAGTTATAGGCATTGTGTTACCAGCTTCCAGTACTAACGCTGTCTTTCTCCCCTTCTGCCAGGGTCACATTAAAGGCTATATATCTCATCAGCATCAAAAGCTTGTGGTCAGTAAGCAGAACCCGTTTCCTCCGCTGTCAACGGTGTGTTGAGTATTGTGTCTTATCCATGCAAGTACTTTTCAGATACTCAGCTTGCCCAGTGGAGCTGCTCGTAATCCACCCCGAGAACATTGTAAATGACCTGGTTCATGTCCAGGACTGGAATACCGGGAACTGTTTGTGGCTCCTTTCCCAGAATGACCAAGGCTGCCAGTGTTACAACAAAGTGCATTGGAATGAAATGCTATCTTTTCAGTGATAGTTTCCCCAGGCTTTCTAGATCATTCAAAGTATTTCATGAGGAAATAAAGCAAAGCATTCCACATCCTTTCCAAACTACTTACAAGCTTTTATGAAGTACTTTGTTACTATTTCTGCATTTATCTTTCAGAGGGAAGTATCATCCATTGTTACTTGTGTTAATCCATTCTTCAGAATGGAAATAATGTTTTCTTTCATGGTTTCTGTGGTTTTTTTTTAAGCCTTTTCAATTATCTTGCTGGTATTGAATACTCTCTTCAAGCTTTCTCTAAAAACTACAGAAGAGGTTGACACAAAAAGCTTTACTGCGTCACAGAACTTATACTGTGTCACAGAACTTATGGGTTCAAGTAAATGTGAGATTTTTATCTGTAGGTGCCCACAGATGGGTTTGGGTTTTTTAAATTCTGGTAATATTCTGTTTCATTTTTGTTATGTTGAACAAAAGCTTATCTAAGTAACTTATCCATACTTGTTTTGTTCTGCTTCTGGGGAAGACACTGCCACTGGATCCATTATTTTAAGTGTTACCACCTTGGGGGTTTTGTTTGTTTGGGGGTGGTACAATGTAACTTTGTCCATAGTGATGGGATGGTAGTTCTGGGAGTTTTAAATTATTTTTAAAGGAAATAAAACATTTTTTCCCCCTCGTTGAGAGTTTGGTTTTATTTTACCCAGTAACTGACATGGACATGATTCATAAGGGAAAACACAGGTAGCATGTATGAAGGGAAGCATTTTTTTAGTGTGATGAGAGTGTCAAGTCCTACATCAACATAGGTGTTTAAAGGCTTGGAGTTCCCCCAGTCTTCATAAGTTTTACTTGTATGGATGCTGAAATAAGAAGATGAATTTGCTGGATCAAACCTCAGGGTAACAAGAGTTAAAGACTCATTTTCTTCTAGCAACATTTAAAATCCCAGAAAAGCAGCAATGCTTTTTGAGTTTTAGGATGAATAGTTCTAAGAAACTTAAAAGTTCAGTCAGTTTTTAGTAAAATAACTAGATTTACTGCATCGTGACTTTCACAGTACTGTGTGTCAGCAGAAGAAGGAAAGACAGATGCGTTTTTCTGTATGAATTGGAGTTGTATACATATCATAGTTGCAACTTCCATTGCTGCAAGTCATGACAGAGTCAAATGGGTGTACTAGCTGCATCAAGGTGTTTCCTTGCAGTGAGTGGTAGGGGTTTGGTGCTGGAGGGTTGGTCGTGTTTGTGTCTTATTTAATTTTTTGTTTAAACCATATCGTATACCTCGCGGTGTTAGTGAATAGGAATGTTTCCCAGTCAGCATCTTCTAGTGGCCAAGATCCCAGGATACCAGTTAGAAACCAAGTGCCCTTATACTCGGTAGCTAAAAAGCTTCCTCCAGCCAGTCGTTTGTCTACAGGCTCCTGGAGGTGTCCACAAAACTGCCTGTTTGTGAGGCTTATGTTGAGTATTTGTTTGCAGTCCTCAGCAGGAAGGTATGAAACCTGCAGCTCATCACCTTGAAGTTCATTGCCTTCCATTCTCCAGCCACTGACCGTACCAGCCAATTTTGGAATTAAAACGTGTTCTGCAAAGTCTCTTTCAGGGGTGCACACAGGAAGCTGGTGGTTGTTGCACTCAACATGCCTTTGGAGTTGTAGCAATGCAATGTTGTTCTCACCAGTGTCTTCGTCATACCGGATGTGTATGTGTTTCTTACTAACTTGCATTGTCTTCTCAGTTCCACTTGTTCCATTAGGCCCTGTGAAGCAATGACATTTCACTGCTCTTAGGAAGAATTTATCAGAGACCTGAAAACTGCATGCAAACTGCCTAATCATGCTGAGAAATACATGCAGTAGAGAAACTAAAGGTGCTCTTTCTTGAAACGGCTGCAGTAAAGGTAAACTAGGAATGATATATTGACAGCTTTTTAATGCTGTGTAGAAGCATGCGTAATTTCAGAGAGAAGGACAAATACCCAACCAGAGAAGTGAATTTTGACATGAGACAAAAGCCGCCTCTAAATCCACCTGCTTTAGCTTATCCCTAGCACGTGCTGACTTCTGAATTGCATTCAAGAGGCAATTGTGTCTCAGCTTGGCTTGTAGGGGGGTATGGGGCAGCTGTAGTTCCAGCTCAAGATACTTAACTGAGATGCTTAAATGAGGTGACAGCAGATTTGTTTCCTTTAACTATTTTTATGCAATAAAAATTTTAGTAAGCTTTTTTTAAAATTAGCTTGTCAATACTAAAATGTGCTGCAACAAGAGAAAATGTGTTTGATCACCTACCAGCACCAACCCTGACTTCGAAATGGCTGTGCAGAAGGGCGCATTCTGCTGTAGTCACTACAAAGTTACTTTTCAGCAGCACTCCTCCACAGAAGCCCTTTCCTTCTGAGTTCAGCAGCAGGACCTAAGAAAATGCAAAAAGATGATAGATAGCACTGTCCATGTGAGGTTGAGTGATGGGTTTCATGAGTTGCTACAAATACCTGCCAAGGAAATCGCTCATCACGTTTCTTCCTGGTTTCACTTAACAGATTATCACTGCCTTGAAGTCTGCCACATGCACATTGATCTAGCAAATGAATTAAAAAGAAAATCAAAACCTCGTGTATCATTTCAAGACAGCTAATAACCTGCAAATACCTTATTGCTTCCACCTTGACTTTGGGCTTTTGTATTTGCACTAAGGAAAAGGAGAAGGATAATTTCTCAGCTAGTGAAAATTGGAATAATTCACTTGGCAGCTGTAGTCTAATAGCTTAGTGATGGCACTGAACATTTTGGGTCATTGCGTTAGGCTTGTGGTGACCAGATTTCACTGTGTCTGTAACTAATGAAATGAGGCTTCCTCATTGTCCTGGTTTCAGCTGGGCTAGAGTTCATTTTCTTTCTAGTAGCTGCTATAGCTTTACGTTTTGCATTTAGTATGAGAAGAATGTTGATAACACACTGATGTTTTCAGTTGTTGCTCAGTAGGGTTTAGACTAAGTCAGTCAAGGATTTTTCAGCTTCTGATGCCCAGCCAGCAAGAAGGCTGGAGGGGCACAAGGAGTTGGGAGGGGACACAGCCAGGACAGCTGACCCAAACTGGCCAAAGGGGTATTCCATACCATGTGACGTCATGCCCAGTATATAAACTGGGGGGGAGTGGGCCTGGGGGGCAATGCTGCTTGGGAACTAACTGGGCATCAGTTGGCAAGTGATGAGCAATTGCATTGTGCATCACTTGTTTTGTATATTCCAATCCTTTTATTATTACTATTATTATTATTGTCATTTTTATTATTGTTATTATCATTATTAGTTTCTTTCTTTCTGTTCTATTAAACTGTTCTTATCTCAACCCACGAGTTTTACTTTTTTTTTCTGCCAATTCTCTCCCCCATCCCACTGGGTAGGGGGAAGTGAGTGGGTTGCTGTATGGTGCTAAGTTACTGGCTGGGGTTAAACCACGACACTCATCTTTGTATCCTGTGTCCAAATTGTGCCAAATACCTGATAGCTGTGGCCTGATCTGGACAAGGTAAATCCTTGTTAAAGCTATTACTCTAGGGATGCGGATGCCTTTCTGTTCGGGTTTGAACAGCATACATGCTTTTCACGTGGATCCCCCAGTTATCTGCATTTATCACACTTGTCTTGGGTCACGCAAACTGGGTTCTGCTCAGGTGAAGCTAAACCAGAAGACACCCTCCAGGAGCACACATAACGTACTCTCACAGCTAATGGGTGCTTAGTCCACAGGACCAAACTAGAGCTAGACTGAAGCAAAGGCCACCTGAAATGTGCGCTGGGTGTGGACATCGAGCCTTCATCACCAAAAGCATGGCTCTACAGCTCAATTCCTATTCTGCTACCCTACGTGCTAATATAGACAAGGGCCTAAGTATAATACTGTGGTTTTAGTAGACCTAGTTTTTAAGGGGATGAGATTCAATGAGATACCTAGTATGAGACTGAAAAAATGAAGAGGGCTACTGCTTCAAACTAATCAATATGGCAGCAAACATTGCCCTTCATTTATCAGACCATCAGGTGCCTGATCGGAATCAATTGAACCTCATTCTTAAACAGACAGGTCTTCAGTGGAGTTACTCTTTACCGGGCATAGGAGTGGAAAACCTGACCGTGTGAGTGATATGTGGGATGATGCAAGTCGTCTCTGCAGACACATGTTTAAAAGTTCAAATATCGCTTCTTTTACCACTGCTTTGGCATCTTGGGTGGTGGTCCCTAGGTTCCTCCTTTTTCTGCCCAGTTTGGATGGTCAGTAATATCCTCATTGCTTGAATCTCCAAGCAGGTTGATGGCATCTGGATATCAGGTGGTGGCCTGCCCACCCCAGTACTGAGCCTGTGCCCCCTGTACGTCCGTGCTCACACCTACCTAATGCGATGCACTGTTTTTTGTCCTTCCCGAGCACGTAGCCATCAGCACAGGAACAGCGGTAGGAATTACTTCCCGGGTAGCAGAAGTGGTCACATCCTTCCTTTGCTTGGTGGCGACATTCGTTTTTAGCTAAACAGAACAAGTGGAGGAAAAGCATTTGGAACACTTCAGCTGGAATATTCTTGCATAGCTTGAGTCCTCTTTACTAAGCGTTTTATTTTTACTTGCTTTGTGTGAAGGTGGATAGGGACCCTGGCTTGGTAGTATTTCCCACCACATTGTTTTTCCCCTTGTTAAGCAGAAATTGGAGACCGCTGAGTCTCTGCAGCATCCACAGACTTGTTGCAAACTATGTTCACACTGCACCTCCCTGCACCAGACTGTCTGCACCTCTGAGTTTTGGGGAGCATTAGCCAAAGGTCAAACTAGGCCTTCCATGTGAATCCATGGAAGGGTGCCATGGGTTTCCTTTCTGCTCTCTTAAACAAAACATGCAAGTATCGGCAGCGGGGAGAACTGTTGTACATCTGAAGAATGCAGGTATTGCTTGAGGAAGAAGGCGGCTAAAGCTTTCCAGTTTTCAGCAAAAACAAATGCATAGCTCTTATTTCTCACGCTTGTGCTAAGAAACTTAAAATTAACAGCTGCCAAAGATGAGAAGTATTAATCACCTTTGAAACGTGCTCTGTCAACTTTCCATAGCTGAGCACACACTTAAGCTTCAGCACAAAGCAACAGGAGGAACAGCCATTTGATGGTGGATCTAGCTCACAGGTGGAGAAGTAGCAAAAAAACCCTCATGTAACATGGCTCTCCAAGGCTCACACTGAGCGGATCCAGTTCCCAGCATGGGTCCAAGCTGTGTCACCTTCCGGTCTCCCCCAGAAGCTAGTCACAGTCAT